ATGTCGGGACTTTACATTTAATCTATACGATCGAGACTAAAGAGTCGAGAGTTTCGGTGTGTCCCACGTATGTACATTAATAAATCATATGCTGGGGGAAAAAAAGATCGTCCTGAAAGGATTGAAGATCGCTTCAATTTAGAATCGAATTTAGACGCTGCGGTGTTCTCGTGGACGAGCCGCGCGCGCTGGCGGCGCCTCGGAGATTTCACGTTCATTAGGGTGTGAATGATGGCCGTGCACGCCGGGGACGCTGCGGAAACTCTAATGCGCGTTAAAATGGCATCTTCTCCAGTGTCTCGAAACACGAGGATATAGCCGCGGATGGATGTAACCGAGAGCCCCGGGTATCGGGCATCACTATGCCGTATATAATACGCGTACACGTCGTCTCGCGCGGTCGCGGTCCTCGAGCCTGATTATCCCGATGGAGATCCGTATCTGGTGGTAATTAGGCGTCTAATTAAACCGGTTAATTAATCACTAGGCGCGCGCGGGGCCGGACACGACGCGACGGACGTCGTATGGTCGTCGCGACCCGATCGTCGACATTCAGAGATTCCGCAAAATTCGTTTCCGCAAAAAGTGTCCGTGATGAAGATCTATCTATATATATTTACGTCGTATTTTGCGCGTATGTGTCCGTAATTATATAATTAATAAATTAATTAAACCTACTCGCTCCCGGTGGCGAAGTAACTGCGGCGAATCGTTCGCCGGTTCGATTAACGGAAATCGCTCGTCGCGGTTTTTACTCGAACGGACTACGCCGATCGTATACTGTGAAAGGACAATCGACAATAATGCCTTTATCCGTTCGACCTGGCGTCGATCCGGCAAACTCTCTTTTTCGTCGGTGAACACACGTCCCAGCATCAATGGACCCCTGTCTTTCCTACATCATTTATCGAATTCTTCACATTCCTCCCCGCGTGATGAAAAGACTTTTCTTTTGGAGGATGAAAATATGAATATAGGATCTCTATAAAGCCGCGTGGTGTTCCCGTACAAAATTATTTTCTAACACTCCCCGATCATTCAGCGTCCAGCTATATGATTATTAACGACATAATTTCATTCAATTCGTATACTCTCTCTGACTTTGAGAAAGAATAATTATGACAATTTAAATTGGATCGAGGTATGCTCTTGACGTATTTTTTTTACATCCCGAAGATCGCGATAAGACGGTTGCACGAGCGATGTAAAGGATATTAATGGTTCCGACTGAAAAAGTCGAATTTTACGGGGAGAAATCTTGCACTTGCGAAGAGAAGGCGCGACTCAAGGCCGTTTACGTTATTAGTTTAATTCACGTGGCAAATCGCCTCTGCGCCACCCAGACGGAGAAAGACGGCGAGCGATTAGGGCGATTTTAGTGCGCAGGTAATTAGAAAAACGCACGTGTCCATTACCGGTGCATGTGGGCGATGCCGGCTAATCGGTACGGCCGCCACGGTTTTATTGGACACTTAGCATCGATTTATAACATGCAATACGTGACTTGCAAAAAGACAGCCCCGTTCTTGCTATATAGGATATTCTCTACGTAAAGTTTCTCATTGGCAAACTTCTCAATGTATTTTTAATTTTTAATTTATTTAACGTCCGCTTTTAAATAATTCCGTATTTTAACTATCAATGCATTTTTTAAAAAACGAAGTATTTAAAATAAATTATACGGAGAACAAATTGTTTATCTATTTGCATCCGTGAAACTTAATTTAAAAAATTTCTTGATTTTTTATTTCGATTATCTGCAGCAAAACTTTTGCTTCGTTAGTTGACGAGGAAAAATTGTTTTAAAATAATCTAAAAATTTTTATACAGAGTAGATGGGAAAAATGAGGTATACTTTGGTTATTTTTGGTTATTAATAAATAAGTAGTAAGAGTACTTTTTAATTCAATTTTTATTAGATTTTATCCTAATGCAAGATGGATCAGAAATTAGAATTGTTTTTCAGATACAAAAATTTTTAAAAACTGGTATCAATAATTTCCTAGATAATATCTGTATTAAAATCAGTTTTATATTCCTAAAAAGAAAAGTTCATGATTCGAAGATGGCATGCTGGATCTGGGATATTTTGTACAAACAAATTAAATCAGGATACATGATGATAATATATGGCGTCATAAAAAGTATTCAAGTATATCTTGAGATTTACGATTCGAACGAAGTAGAATGAAATGCGTCAGATAAAACAGAATCAAAGGGTTGGGAAATCGCGATTGCCGGAAGCAGTGTCCAGGCAATGAAAAATTGATCGCCGTATCGTTCATGCAGTAGCCGAGAATTCTGTCGGCGATAAGACGTTTCGACCGATGACGTCGGGACTCGTCGCCCGGCGTTGTCGTTATCGCGACGGACGATTTGATTTCTCGGTCGATTTCTTATTTTGCTTCCTCGTGTTCCGCGTAAACACAGCGTCGCTCGCAACAATTTATCTGTTTTCCTCTCCGCGATACACGAGCCGCGATCGGCGCGAAATTTTCCACTGTCCGACACACAGGCTGAACTGCTCCCCTGTTGCAAATAATGGGGCATGATAACTATAGTTTTGCCGCCACACTCACACGCACATGCGCGTACACATACACACGTATATCGTATAACTTGAAACATCTCCGTTTATCGCGAAAAATTATTTCCAATGCGATAATAATTCTTAACGGCGAGCAAATTGTTCGAGATAATTAAATTTATTATAGAGATATAAATTAATATATCTAGGCAAAGGATATTTTACGATAATCGAAAATAGTGTCAGATAATAAAAAGAACCAATAAAAGGATTAATGAGTGCGAAATTAAAAGAAACTAAAAAAAAATCTCATAATTTAAATACATAAGCTCGAATTTTTCTGAAATACGTTCATATATACATGCGTTAATATTTACATCATACGCAAATAGACTAAAAAGGCATTACGAAATTCGAGAGACAAGAACGAGAGCCCAGGAATCGAGTCCCGGAGGGTTGATTCAGATTTTCATGCCGAAGGAGGAAGATTCCTCCGCACACCGGGGACTATTAAATTTATGGGTCTCCCCTCGTCGAAGGGGGAGACGATAACATGCATAATAAGCGCGCCCAGATAACGGGTGACGCATAAGTTACGGCCTCGCGATAAACGAGGCCCATGCATACCGTGGAAGGTTACCCATGGTCTAAGGACTACGGGCTTACGCCCAGGAAGTGCCCTTAAAATATTATGGCATGGCGAGATTAAATAGAAACTCAAACAGGTGGACAACTCGCGCACGTAATCGAGTTACTCTTATTAAAATTTGACAGTAATAATTTAAATAGTATAATTTATATAGTATTTATCTTATATTATATAGTATTATCTTTAATTACTTTTCAAAGAAAAGTATATAAGAGAATATTCTTCCATTTGTAATTCCATTTAATGTTAGAATTATGAATTAGCTTTAAGTAGAAATATAAAAAAATAGTCAATTATATGTTTGATTGGATTGTTATGTCGGACATCCAAAATCGATGCAATTTAGCTGAATGAACATGAAAAAATGAGATTTGCATAGATCATATCTAAACTGTACATTTTCTTTACGATTAAAGCCGCTTCTTTATATAATTAATTCACTTTCGACCAGGAATATATTGACATTCACTTTATTTAGTGCAATTTAACTTCCTGAAGCATATCTAGAAAAAACATTCCCTCGCTTAATTTAATATGCAAATTATCAGCCTCACGCGTGTTTCCCGCGAATCCAACAAAGAACTGCTCCGACGCAATCTCTCATGCCGCGTGCGAATGTCAAGATACTCAATAATCAATTATTATTCATACATATCGACGTTCGAACTGCGTGTATACCGATATATATATTCGCAACTTCGCAATATTCTCGAATCATAGGATAATTCTTTTTTTTTGTCAATTTATGACAATTTATGACTTTAACGTTACAGATTTACGTTCGTTAATCGCCGTCGTCAATGGAAATAATATTGATATATTAAGTATATATACGCAATTAAGTGCTGAATTCCCGTCGTAAAAATGCTTACGAGGCGTGCTTACGTCTCGGCGAAAAAATATGCGACTGTTAAGTTAAATGCTCTGTCGTTATTACTATATATTATCGTGTTCATCGAATGTACTCGCGCGGATTTAAAAATGCAACTCGACCAAGCCGTAAAACGTTCATTACACTCTTTATCTCGATCAACGCGGCGCTTTAATCTCTATTATTCAAGATCCCCGTAAATAATGGTCGGCCGTTATTACCTGAAGACCGTCATCGGCAAAGAATTATTAACTCTTAAATGCTCGCGTCAGTCAATTCAATTTGCGCAATTCTGTCCTCATTCGTATAATTTTACAAGGAAGAATCAAAGAGTTATATGACCCTTTATTTCATTCTTTCATTTCATTCTTCTTTCTAAAGAATTGGTTTGTTAGATCCTTAAATCTGTCCGAAAGCGAGAGAGAAGTGATCGTTTACGTCGTATCTATGTATCTTCTTTTTCCACGCGAGTATATTTGGAAGGCAACATCTCCACTCGGCGCATTCCTCGCGAAAAAAAAGGGCGGAGCGGATTATCGACGGTGACAATGCCGAATCAGATATGTATCTGGATGGAATTCATGGGTGCCTCGTTGCACATCTTAATCGCGGAAGTTCCTTCTCTTTTTTTTTTCTCCTTTGGTCCAGGAACGGGTGTCTTCACGAAGCGGTACCGCGCGCTGCGCTTATCTCGCGCTCGCTATTGGAAGCTATCGGTCGGGATAGGAGACCGACTCCGGGCGGATTCTGAAAAAAAACGCCGACCCACCCTCCCTATATCTCCCCTCCCCTTATCTCTCATAGATCTTCGTCTTCCGCCACTCGATTTATCTCGAAGCTCGCCTCACACCGGTTTCCGACCGTTTACCCGCTTAATTTATTTCCCGTATCTATTGAAATCTTAATAACGTCGCGCATCCGAGCTCGGAAGCGTAAGGGGAATGTGGACTCACCTTGCGGATTTCTGCGGATACTCTGTCCCCTCAGGCGAATTGGCACGTTCCCGCCGCCATGGTCAACGGGCACTTCCGCCTCTTCGGCCGCGCGTTCGCCGCGCTACTATCACGTCTTCCGCGGGATGCTGCTGAAAAGATAAATACATCGGAGATGGTTAGAAGAGATTCGAGTGAAAAAGTCGAGTGCGTAAGTAAATACAAAGTGTAATACACAGAGAATTAAATAAATGATTGATGCACCACAGAACTATCTCTATTTATGAATATCGTATACGCATCTTTATAAATCACAAAAAGTTAATATCTAATTATACAGAGCTTATTTATATTAATACATTATTAATAGCGACTAATACAACATTCAGAACTCGTGACGAAAAAAAGACTGTGACCAATGGCGGTCGAACGAGTTACGAAAGGTCGCGCAAACGAGGGTGCGATAAGCGAGATCGTATATCATTCATCTCAAAGATCTGGCTATCATCCTTATCCAGTGGCTACATGAGAAAATTGCCGACGAATCGTCCCTTCGATATTTTTACAGTTCAACATACGCACACATATCTATAACATATTTGTCTCTCTGATAATACGTTTAAAAGAACGTCTCTTATCGTGACATTTATATATTACCTAAACCACATAAGTTTTTGTCGACTTGATATAATGATCTGGGAAGTCAATGATCTCGAGAATCTCATAAGGATTGTAGATTTAGTATTTTACATCTCCTCTTCCCCCCCCCCCCAAAAATCCAGTGCAGCTGTTTTAAAAACAGGTGCGGAAGTCCACCTTGTTAATTAATTTTCGTTCAGCCGAAAATTTTTAGCATTTTAATTTACGTAATATGTTGCGTTCCTTTTTGATTATAAGAACGTTTTGATTTCATTAGCAAATATCGATTTTATCATATAAATAATGATCGTATTAATGTTCAAATAAACTTCAAGTTTGTTTCATTTCTTTTGATTGTCAATTGAGTGTCATTTTAAATAAGTACAATGCACTTCTACACAAAAATAACGTATTATTTAATAGCACGAAACAAACGAGAAAGTAAGAAAACATTTCAATTCACACGTTCAATTTGATAAAAGTATTCAGGGACTAAAGGTTACAGCGCAGACTCTCTCTTGCGTATGCAAATTAAATGCCTTCCGCCTTGCGGATTTTCGAGGAAATCGTAAATTTGCTAAGCCGAAACGCTCGCGTGTCAAAAGTCGCAAGCTGCACCGAACTCGTTGCTTATCCTTTTATTTAGTCACCTCTTAACCCCCCGTCTTTACGGCGCAAATCGTTGAAATCGTCTTAAATCCGTCATTTTATGTCGCTTCCACGTTCGTGCACCTGGTAAAACTCGTTTCTTCGTATATCCACTTCATGTTAACTCCATATGATTTCTCATGTAATATTTCGATTACTGCTTCAATAGATACAAAATAGGAGAAAAAGTTAATGGAAAGAAAAGAGTAAAAAATTTTATTTATCTTTATTACATTTATTCAGATTTGTATTTATATTGTATTTATATAATTTGCATTCAAAATTGGAAAAAAGGATTATTAAGATAATAAAAATTATCTAACAAGTTGCAAGTTTTAGAAGATTGTTAATGTTACGGTAATGTGTAACAAGTAACAAGTGTTAATTTTATACCTCTGTGAACCTAGCACTCCCACCACTCAAAAAAAGTTTACCATAATTAAGCCATAATTAAGCTTATTTATTGTTAACTTATTGCCCTAGTTGCATATTTATTGTTCCTACCTATTCGCAGGAAATTAATATCAAAAGTGGGGGATGCGGACTTCGCGTTACGTTAGCATTCCTTTTCTCAAAAAAACACGATACAGATAAGTACCTATAGATAAGATATTGATCGGGGCAATTTAATAAATATCTTAAGTAAATTACTTGAAATCTAAACGTATCGAAATAATGTACTATTTTTATGGCAAATGTAAAATATATAAAAAATCTTGATGCGCCAAGATCAGCACAGTCAGAGTTGTTATCGGACGCTCGATTGGAAGCGGCAATAGAAATATGCAGCGGTCTCGAATTTGCATACAGTGGTCGCAACTGACTCTGTCGGGCCTCACCGCCGTAATATTTATGAGATACGACTTCCTCCGATTGTTTGTAAGTAGCTACGTATAAATAACATAGTCATTCTATGTTCTTCGATCGTAGTTTTCGCGTTAAAATCGTCGATAAGTTCCAGTGACAACACAAATCATAAATTACTGACGAAAATAGACAATAAAATTACTCAAGAATTCAGAAATTATTGATTAAATAACAGATGAAGAAGGAAGCGAAACACATTGCATGTCATAAGCAAAAACAGAGTTGTTAAATTCATAAAAAAATATTTGAAATAAAAGTTTTTTCTCAAGCTCGTATAGCTGCACACGAAACATAAAATTTTCTCATCAAATAACATGAAGAAAAAAAAGTCTATATGTAATCAAGAATTTTTAATGCGATCTCGATAATGAACGAAGTGATGCTAGATGCGATAATTCGAGCGAATCAATTAAAGTTTGCGGGACGCGTTTATGAATATTCCGTGCACGAGATTCATCGATTACAGGCGCTACTCGATACTCCTCGGGCCCGAGCTTCATCGGATGAATAATCGTGTCCTTTATTTAGCGCTCGAGGACACGTTACTCGGGTGATTTATAACTGGAACATAAGATTTAATTTCCATCGTCGATTACCGGCACAAAGTTAATGTGTCTATTAAGAGGAGCGTACCCGCGCGCGGCGCGGCCAATCGAAAAAAGTTCTAACCGTAAGACAGATTGCGACATTACCCTTGATTAATGCGCGCGCTAGAAAATTCACGCGAGCATTACGAGCGAGGTAATCGAATCGTCGCACTATGCCGTAATCAGACCGGTTGTGTCGATTTAATAATGCACGCAGAGAGAGAGAGAGAGAGAGAGAGAGAGAGAGAGAGAGAGAAAGAGAGAGAACGAGTTCAGCTTATATCGCATCGTTCGCTTAACAACATCGTTGGACAACTCTAAAAGAAGCTTTTAGATTTCTTTTAGTCATCTTTTTTCAAGTTCTTACCTATAATATAGTTTGGGTTTTATAAAGTTTTATAAAAATTCTACACAGAAAAAATGATTTCTTTGGATTTAATAAATTTTATTGTATTCAAACAATAAATTTGTTATTTGGTTCAAACAAACCAGTGTTTGAATTAATAAGTACGATAGTTTGAATTTGAAACAATGTATACCTTCGTCTTAAATAAATTGCATAGAGAACAACGCATATCAAAATATTTTGCTATTTTTATTTAAATAAATTATTTGTTTTATTGTTCGGATTTATTTTATTGTAATCAAATAATACATGATTTGATTGAAAGATATTACTTAAAATAATAGTGTTATTTCCATCAAGGTTTTTAATAACGGTTTTTTGAACGAAACAACAAAATTTTTATTCAAACAAATAATATTTCGTATAAGCATATGTTGTTCCAATGAAAAAAATATCAGTCAAATAAATAGGATTACTAAATTTAAAGAAATCTTTTTCTCTATGTTTACCATTTATATTTAGTGACAAAACTTGATTTATTCAAAGTCTGAACTATCGTATAATATAAATATAACAAGATCTTGTAACTTGAATAAGACATCTCGTAAAACAATTTTGTTTGCTCAACGGAAAGATTTTGTCGATCACATGGCAATGTCGTTATTCATTATTAAAAAAAAAAGAAGCAAGTTTTAGTTTGTGTGAGGAATATCCTTTCCTGGTTGTGCGCGATAGATCATTTATTATCTTCATTGTTATCCATACGCCGCATCATAATTCACGTCTATCGTGACTGTAAACGTATGCACGAGATTCTCGCAGTAGGTATATGTGTCGTGTATAGCAGTAAACGCC